CCCCCACCGCACAGCCCCTTCTCAAGACTCACCCCCACCGCCACAGCCCCTTCCACAGACACCCATCCACAGCCTCTTCTCTCTTCTCAAGACTCACCTCCAGGCAGGACCATGAGCACCAGCGTCCCCAGAGCACACAGCACGAAGAAGGCGACGAGGGGGGCCTTCCTTCCGAACTTCACGACGAAGGGGATGGTCAGCGTGTACGAAGGGAGCTCCATGAGGCCCGCCAGGAACATGTACAGGAACGGGTCGGCGCTGAAGAAGAAGGAGAAAGGGAGAGAGTGAAGGGGGTCGTGAGGACGGAGAGTGGAAGGGAGGGAGGGAGGAAACGTCTGAGGGAGGAAGGGAAAGATGATATTTGTTATAAATAAATATATATATATATATATATATATATATATATATATATATATATATATATATATATATATATATATATATTATATATGTGTGTGTGTGTGTGTGTGTGTGTGTGTGTGTGTGTGTGTGTGTGTGTGTGTGTGTGTGTGTGTGTGTGTGTGTGTGTGTGTGTGTGTGTGTGTGTAGGTACACACACACACACACACACACACACACACACACACACACACACACACACACACACACACACACACACACACACACAACACACACACACACATTCACACACACACACACACACACACACACACACACACACACACACACATATATGTATAATATATATATATATATAGATAGATAGATAGATAGATATAGATAGATAGATAGGTACATACATACATACATACACACATACTTATATGTAAAAAAGAAAAAAAATATATATACATACATATATATATATATATATATATATATATATATATTATATATATATATATGTATGTATGTATATACATATATATACACATGTGTGTGTGTGTGGAGGAAAATAGCGAATTGCATGTTGTGCGGTAACTAATTAAGCGAACGACCTAATTTGGGCAACAGTTGATTGTGAGGATTCAGTGAAGTTGATGGCCAGTCTCGTTCCGTGGCGAGGAGGGGGGGGGGGCATGAGGTGGCCATCCTTATCGAAGTCAAAGTGGCCATAAGGTCGGTTTTGGCGTATCCCTTAGTCGCTCTTGGATGTCCATTTTTTTTTTTTTTTCAGGCAATGAAATGGGTGAAGAAGAAGAAGAAGAAGAAGAAGAAGAAGAAGAAGAAGAAGAAGAAGAAGAAGAGAAGAAGAAGAAGAGAAGAAGAAGAAGAGAAGAAGAAGAGAAGAAGAAGAAGAGAAGAAGAAGAAAAGAGAAGAAAAGAAGAAGAAGAAAGAAGAAGAAGAAGAAAGAAGAAGAAGAAGAAGAAGAAGAAGAAGAAGAAGAAGAGAAGAAGAAGAAGAAAGAGGAAAGAAGAAGAAGAAGGAGAAGAAGGAGAAGAATAAGTGGGAGAATTACCCAGAATTAGGTCAGTGTCGTAAAATTACCTTAACTTTGGGAAACTATATAGCAGTGGAAATGAAATTGAAAGTGAAATTTGAAACTGGGCTTAATTTCGAAAATGGATAATGGGAAATGACTAATTTTTTGCGTGTGTGTCAAAAAGTGTATATTTTGTGTTGTAATAAATCTATGATGAATTCTGTTTCGATTTAATCTGAAACTAAATTAGTGCAATGGTCCAGAATTATCCACATATATACAAGTATACGTATCTATTTATCCATATATGCATCTATTTGTGTGTATGTGTGTGTATGTGGTTGTATGTGTGTGTGGGAGTGTGTGTGTGTGTGAGTGTGTGTGTGTGTGTGTGTGTGTGTGTGTGTGTGTGTGTGTGTGTGTGTGTGTGTGTGTGTGTGTGTGTGTGTGTGTGTGTGTGTGTGTGTGTGTGTGTGTGTGTGTGTGTGTGTGTGTGTGTGTGTGTGTGTGTGTGTGTGTGTGGTGTGTGTGTGTGTGTGTGTGTGTGTGTGTGTGTGTGTGTGTGTGTGTGTGTGTGTGTGTGTGTGTGTGTGTGTGTGTGTGTGTGTGTGTGTGTGTGTGTGAGTGTGAGTGTAAGTGTGAGTGTGAGTGTGTGTGTGTGTGTGTGTGTGTGTGTGTGGTGTGTGTGTGTGTGTGTGTGTGTGTGTGTGTGTGTGTGCGTGTGTGTGTGTGTGTGTGTGTGTGTGTGTGTGTGTGTGTGTGTGTGTGTGTGTGTGTGTGTGTTCGTGTGTTCGTGTGTTCGTGTGTGTGTGTGTGTGTGTGTGTGTGTGTGTGTGTGCGTGTGTGTGTGTGTGTGTGTGTGTGTGTGTGTGTGTGTAGAGTGTGAGTGTGAGTGTGAGTGTGTGTGAGTGTGTGTGTGTGTGTGTGTGTGTGTGTGTGTGTGTGTGTGTGTGTGTGTGTGTGTGTGTGTGTGTGTGTGTGTGTGTGTGTGTTCATGCGCGTGCGTGTGCGCATACGTGTGTCTATGTCTTCTTATTATTGTTTGGGCGTATGCGCACGTGTGTTCGTGTGGGAGAATATACATGAATCCTAGTTAATATCTAGTTCCATAATTA